AAAGTCGCGCACACTCGAAGATTGCGCGCAGCTTTAAAACGCCTTTTCACAGTTGTATGAAGACGAGCTATTTCGCAGTATCTTTCTAAAGTAGATCAGGAACTCGGAAGTCCCTCTCTTTTGTTCATCCATAACTTTCTTGGGAGTGGATCTTTCAAAGACCAGAAGGAAGGGTCGTAGACCACTAGGCTATAGTCCATTAGCAGTGCTTAAGCAGCAAATCTAAACACTTCTTTGTTAAAGGCATAAGCCACGATAATTTGGTACCCAGAATGGTAGTCTGGGCGCTATACAGTGGGGGAAAACGGCGAAAAAGCAAAATGAAGCCTTCGTTCTTACAAGAGAGGTCATTCAGGTCGTGGTGAGCTTTTCAAAAACGGTTTGTTGCATGATGTAAGGGTCCATGCAAGGACCACACAGATGGGGTTCATATTTGCTAAACGCTATTGGGAATGCGAGAGACAGGTCAAATAAAATTCCATTTAAGCCACATTATTCGCCTCCGTTCTAGCTGTAGCGTTGGCAGCGTATAGTATGTGAGGTATTCTTTGAGCAGGCATGAAAAACAACGCAAAATAAGGTCAAAATTCAAGTACTTCACTTGAATTGTGGTGAACTACATAGGGGTTCAATAATCATCTGCGGCCGAGTCATCCGACTGGTACCCTATATCATATCTTGGAACCAACGTCTCACTGCCACTACGGACCGGCGTTATGAATTTCGTGACACAGAGACATACTTAGCGGGTAATATATAGCACCAGTCGAATCACCCGGCTGCCGCAGGGTGCTCCTCCTTCTATTTAGCGGCCTGGCGAAGACGGGCTTCGCTAGGCGCTCTCCCTTTGGGCGCGGTAGAATGCGCCGAATGTGCCAAACGGTGGCAGTTGTTTTTTAATAAAATGTGGGAAAATGAGTTGAAAAAGCTCAACATCAGTCATTATCTACCAACATCTGGTCCCTCTTGCTTACTACAGACTTTCAACCGTGAGAAGGCTGCACCATATCATTAAGGACCGCAGTTGCGACATCAGAATGGGTAAAGTTGAATTAGTCCGGATGAGTCCTTAACACCCGGAAGAGGCATAACTGCAGAGTCATGGGTGGCACTGAAAAGGAGAACTTCACATTGCTTGTACATGTCAAAGTGTGTGTCGCACGGAGAGCTCGAGTTTTACCACCGACCGGACGTTCCCATTATCAATTGTACGGTTCCCTGCTTATTTTGCTTCTGCGACGTCCACCTCGTAACACGTTACATAGCAGGCAGATTTGCGAAAATCTTGATTGGTGATTTTCTGGATTTCCCCGTTTCGGCCGCACTACATACAGCGCACTGTTCAACTATTACTACCCCAGATTTCCGGAAACGGGCCGGATTTTGATCGAATTTTTTCTACGGAGTGGATTTGGCTGAAAGTTTGGTTCTAGGGGTAACCGCCACAGGCGCCGGCGCCAAAGTACCCTAGACCACGAAATCCGCTGAAAACTTGTACCTAGGGGTAGTTTGACCTCCTAATCACGAATATCACATTCCCTCGGCTTGAAACCGCTCCGCGTCCGCGCTACGGGCGCCGGCGCCAAAATGCCCCAAATCACTGGCGCCTATGGCGCGGGCGCCAGGCAATTTCAGGCCAAGTGGATGTGATATTCGTGTTCAGGAGGTCGAATTACCCCTAGAACCCAACTTTCAGCCAAATCCGCCCCCGTAGAAAAAAGTCGATCAAGATCCGGCCTGTTTTCGCAAAACTGGGGTAGTAATAGTTGAATAGTGCCAAAAGTTCACACGCTGAGCCTCTAATACTCGGCATTAAAGCGGCAAGAAGTGATAGAAAATGTAGCGCAGATGGTATCTTATCTGTTTTTATCGATTGATAAGATTACCTGTCACCCGTCATCAATGTCCTCATCACTAAATCTTTATGATTTGGTAGCGTGAATCCACCTTGAACAGCGACTGCAACTTCCCTTATCAGCCCCTATCAGTAGCATCGCTTCCGGTCACCCACGCTTGATGTCCCCATCTCACCCTCTATATCACGTGCTGAAATGTGCGCCTCGCTGATGCTGGAAAATGCTTGTGCCAGCACTTTAATGATAATTGTTAGCGGCCAGCCATACAAAGTTGTAGTTGGAGCATGCTTTGCGCCGTGGTATTGAAGCGAGCTACTTCACGGTCCAAATTCATTTCCCAGCCAGGCACTCCGGAAATATCTTTGGCTTGAACACCCATAACTTTTGGGAGGGAAGCTTCAAACGAGGAATAAGCAGGACTGCGAGAGACCAGGTTACACTCATATGTTTATGATCCGTTTAAGTTTGGGCGATTCCGAAAAAAAACTCCTTTTGAGGAAAATTCCCCGCTGTGACCCCGTTATGACATTTCAGAGTCATTTACTATTACGCTTCGAACAGCCATAGCAGTCTTCATGCAAAGTCATTTGTGAAACAGAAAACACTGTCGGAATCTAGAAAACTTCTTCTTTCAAGACTTTTACTTGTTTTTTAACCCATTGCGTACCGCAGTGTATTTGCGCGACTTCTGGCGCGCTGAGTATAAAAACATAAGATTTTTATCTTATACATATAACATAAAAATATTGCACACACATCGTATTATGCATCACTTTTATAAGTATACGTATGCTAAAGGGGATTCAATATTGTTACGTGATAAAAGTGTAAAGCCGAAAAATGCGAAACTAGCCAAAAAAGCTTGATAAAATTAAGAGGAGTTAAAAAGTGACGCAGTGTGCTTAGAAGCTGTTCACTCACACCATTTTACAATTTTTCAGTCGTGTACTAAGCAGGATTTCGGTTTTATTGGTAAAGGAGAGTTAATTAAAAAATGTAATAGTTGAGGTATTACTCGAAAAATGCCAGCAACTTAGCTATTATTCAATCTCGCAATTTCCCCCACACATATTTTGTCCCAGACGACTTCAGGAATATACCGACTCTTTCCAGTCATCTAACAATGCTAAATGAGTTCACACTAAGAGTGCTTCACCATGTGCAGCACGCGGTACGCAATGGGTTAAGCATGCTGTTTGTGAAAATTCTGTGTTGCGATGTCGTGCGACACCTTTCGGACTACACGAGAAACCCATCCGTCCTACGCGATACCACTTTCAGTTCGTTTAAAGGTTCTGGTATGAATCAAGAACACCCACTTTCACAAAGCGCCTCAGGGACAAGTTCAATCATTGGAATCACCGCTGCAATGCGCCATGCATACAGCTCTCCCACGAAGAGGTTTTAGGAAGATGCAACTTTTAAATGGGGCTTCCTTCGTGCAATTGGATGTGCTCCTGTGACCAGAAAGGTCCGAGAGAGCATTTACATATTTTCATAGAATACGTGACGTCGTTGTGGGCGGCATTCGTATTTTTTGTCATCGCCCACTTCTGCGCTGGCAGGTTGCTTCTGTCTCCAGGTGTTCTTTACACAAAGAATGCTGGATAAATTTCATGATTTAAGTTGCAAAATATCTCAGCATCGCTGCTCTTTCCACGAAGTGGTTCTGCGTTTACGTCTCCCCTCCTCCCTCGCGGCTAAGTACGACCCCTCTGTTGTAATTATCACAACATGCATGCTCTGTGTGAAGAATTCCGCCATCGTTGCAATACCCTCTTTTGATCCACCAGGAAATGGCCATTCTCATCATTTATGCCAAAGAACTACTCTGTGTCTTCTGCTTCGACGGTGGCGCTTGGGCGATGATACTTAGTAAGTCGCTACAGGCTGCCGCTGGCCGCTCAATGAGCACGACTCCAGTTTCTTGCTGACACCCTCGCAGTATACTGCTTTTATAGCAACCACTTTTTGCCTCCTTCCTCGCTTTCTGACAATTTCGCCAGTTATAAGCTGACTTGTGCTCGAGAAACCGTAGCAGAACCTCTTGTTTTCTCGGATTTTGCGACTGCGAAAGTCGTAATCGCGCGGATTACGGAAGCGCTAATGCACGATTACAGGCACACTGTGCGCAGTTTTTGGCTCTCCACAAAGACCGGCCTCAAAGGCCCGACAATCTCTTTCGACGCACTCGACCCATCTTGTTTCTTGCACTGTACAGATATCGATCCTTCTACTAGCCCAGTGCTCCTGCCAACTCATGCGAGCGTCCAGTCAGAGTCCCAACATTCAGCGTTGTCATGCGAGCCTCCCAAACGCTGCACATTCCCGGACTAGCTTGGTTGCCCCAGATGCCGTCGTTGTATTAGGGAAGCTTGCATACTTACCACGCTCGCCGGAACTTGCGATGCGCGTCGGCGCAACATTAACTCAAAATTTATACGGCATAGTTGAACATTGTGATGTGACATAAATGTTCGTAGGTCTGTCCGTCACGAGAATAGATTCGACTTTTATTTCTAACTATTATGTATTATGCCTCGGAGATCGAGACGTCTTCGACATTTTGAACCCTGAAACTAAAACTGAGTTAGTTGTAAGTGATTCAGTGCGCGAAACGGCTCAAACCGGTGAAAATTTTCAGGCCGAACCCGTACACTCCCTGTCCCTGTCCTGTGCTGAAAAGGTTTGTAGGAGTGTCAGGAAGGAACCATTTCGGAAGAGGGATGGAGTCAAAGGCTTGAGCCAAGACATGCTGTCGGTGATAAGGTCTACAGGGATCCCCGTACTACGCGCGGAACTGTGCCTCAACTCGTAAAAAACTAATCTACATTATGATAAAGTAGAATATTGTCGGAAATAGAAAATACCAGTGCTAAGAGATAGGCAGATAAATTGAGTTTCTTTGAAAAAAGAAGTGGCGTCAGTGAACAGAACCGTAGTTGTTTAGATTTTCATCTCTCAGGAGTCAGTAGTCGCTTTCTTGAGTAGGCATCCACTGCAGGAGGATCTTGCATTAGACCACTGAATCGTTGGACATTTAACGAGAAATAAGGTTCTTCTTACCAGGCGTATAAGCAACACCTTGCAAAACAAAACGACTCTGAGGAAATAGAAACAGTTAACGGCTTCACTTCGGACCAAATGTTTTTCCTGGGCAGCAGTCTAGTGAGTTCCATGACAATTCATTTACGACGTTTCCCTATAAACCTTCTTCACTGAGACTTGCTAAGAGAATGGCAATTACATGGCGACTATGAAATACAACATGTATAAAATCAGATATTAATAAATACGTGTTTTACAACGTTGATGGTTTCTTACCTATGCTAAGGGTTGATTGAGTTTAAGGACCTACCATGAGTACATGGGCAGGCAGGCTCAACACAACAACACAAAGTTGAGTCCTGATTCACAATTGTTATAGATAATGTTCAAATGTAGAGTATGGCGACAATCCCACCAATTCCTTAGAACGCGTTGCAAGGATGAACTTTGAGAAAGTTTCTATAGCTTTGCGTTACAACAAGAATGTTCCAGCTATGGTGTACGAAAACGGCGGATTTCACGGTGTATGAAGGTCTATCAGATGCACATTCACCTTCAGAGTACCGGTCTGTCTTCTTTCATGTTCACATTACGTAATGACGGTGCCCTCCGTTTCTTCATTTCTTTTTTTTCTTTTTTCTGAATTAGAAATAGTTCGTGAAACATTCAACTAGCTATGTTTGTCAAGTTTCGTAGCTGAAGGTTAGCCTATTCAGCAACAGAAGTCATTTCAGCGTCAACCCAGTGTCTCAAAACATTCCTGCCTTCGCTGATGCCTTCCACTGCTCATCAGAGTCGAGAATGAATCCGAAGACACGATGTTCTTTATGGTGATATAAGTAGATTTTGTGATAGCCATGTTGTGGAATGTATTGCGACTATAGAAATGTTGCACCTCTTTCATTTATGAAAGTTATTAACTTTTTTCCTGTGCTGGTGAAGTTGCACTTTGAACTCATTTTGCTCCTCACTTGCAAATTTTAAGCAATATGCCAGCAATGAGCAAGTAAACACAAATCGTGGGCTCTCAGGCGAAAGGGTCGGGCAGGGAGGACAGGGCACGAGAAGGGATGGGGTTGGGTACGATGGGCGCGCAGTGTGTGCTTGAAGTACACCGTGTCACGGTGTCAGTTGATGCGATAAGGAAAAGAGAGGAGTGGTCGACCGCTAGCAGGGTTGCAAGCCGGTCCATGTCGTCTTATCAATTCAGATAATGTTTTCAATGTGATGACAACCACCACTTACTATATAATCCCGTATATAATATAAATGAATATAATCCTTCTACTCTACAGAGCAATAAATTTGTGTGTCGGTTTTTCGGTCTGTATGCATGTGCGTTTGTTTGTTTGTTTGTTTGTCTGTCCGCAAAATGCTTCGCGAGATTAACGGAGGAAACAAGCGCTAGCCAATCTAGGAACTTTCGGTGCAGATGTATAAACCCATGTTTTGATTGCCATAACAGCCTCCACTATATAAGACAACCATTTGGTTCACTACCGAGTTCTTGCACGAGCTGCTCGCGTGGCAGCTGGGCATGGGCTCGTGCAGAGGATAGGGTGGGTGGGGGGAAGGGGTGCGGAGGGCTGAGCGGGCTAGACCCAGTGGAGGGGTGTAGGACGTTTGTGCAATGCACTTTTTTGCACCTCTCCTCTCATAACGGCAGAGTCGCCTGCGGTGTGACCCACTTAATTGCTGGCTCGCTGCCTTTTGACCTCTCATCGATTACGCTGTTCAATCAGTTATAACATGACTCGAAGAATACGAACATAGAAATGTGAAGAGTTGCCCATACTAGATAAATATTGAGTTCAAAACGATGAAAAGTGGGAAAGAAAGTGATAGAGGCCTTTACTCAACTTAGCAGTTTTGTTAAACATAACTGATAAAAGGGTACCTGTTTTCCACCAAAACATGTCAGTGTTCCCCTTTGTTAAGAGCAGGTCACCTGAACTAAACCCCCTCAATTACTTGGTTCCGGTGGAGTTCAATAGGGTGGTCCACAGTGGCGGAGAAATCAACGATCTCGCTGAATTCAGGTACCCATAGGGACAATCTCTCGATGGCGCTCCTCCAAAAGGCTGTGAGAGGAATATCATGATAGTATTTGATATGATCTTTTCTGCTACACACTGGTATATATCCCCTCCCAGCCGTCCGACCGAAAGTTTTTCAATGTTTGGGTAAAAAACTGGAAAATGTGGGCAATTGCTAAGTAGGTGCTGGAGAAGCGGAAGGGAGGGTGTCGTACTGGCATCACCATTTCACACATCACGATGTGTGAAATGTAGCGTACCGTACAAGGTTGCTATACCCTGGTCACAGCAACCTTTGTTACGCTCATGAAGTGCTTTCTCGGAATAGGAGCATGCTGCTTAGGAACGCATTCATAGGAGCACTGAAAGAGTGGGATCATTCTTCCGGCGCGCTTCTATGAATGTCTGAGACGGTCTGATGGATCGAATTTGCACGGTGACAAGATATTGCATGACTGCAATTTCGATTTCTCCACACTCCCATATAACCTTCTGAGGAGGAAAAAAAACACGAATATTCAACGACGAAAAAGTGATTTTGTAACCCTGCTCATCCTGCAAAAGAGTTTTCACACCTTCTTGTCATTTGGCGAAGCACGACCGGAAAACAAACAGCATTCCTGTAATCACTGTATGCGCCCTTACAGTATGCAACAAACTGTTTAGAAAAAATGCTGCATTACCTGTGTGACCTGTCCTGCACAGTATGCTCAGATCAAACGGCAAAACAGTGGACTCCAAGGGAGCAAATGTTTTCGGCGTTCCTTTCGCTTTCTTTTCTCCATTGTTAGACCAATTAGCTGTGCAAACGTCTATGAACACTACTTATCCCATCTGTATAACAAAACGCACACACTACAGATGAGTGTAGGTTTATGTCCAGCAAGGGAATGGTTCCAACTTCCCATGGGTGTTGGAAGGGGAACCTTGTTGCATCTATGAATTTTAATAATTTTAATGCCGATTGTAGAGTGAAGGTGCTACAAGGCTGCCACAAAAGAGTTCTCCATGTTCAAGATTTGCTTTGAATGAAGTGTTGGTAGGTCAGCACTGCTGAGCGCTGGACGCTAGTAATATCCTAGGGCGCGCCATCACGTTTCAAGAACTCTCTGATGAATACGACCAGGGTTCCACTAAAGCGATTCCCAGAGCGACCTCCCCCTTCCCGCCTCTGAGAAAAAACGAAAAGGGAACAGGAAACAGAAAAGGAACAGAAACGGACAATGAAAGGGACCATATCGAACTGGGTAATCAAGTTTCGAACGTTCGCGCGCGTTCAGAAATTGTGCGCAAACGTTCGAAAATTTTTCTACGGCTATTTAGAGCACGCTATTCCGCCATTGAAAAAAATGAAACAAATTTCCAGAAGCACCCTCTCAAACATCATAAATTTCTTGAAAGTAGAGCTTGTAGTTTTGAAGAACCATCTCCTTGTGTCGCTATTGTTGGATTTTGTTGAAGTAGTTGCATCTGTTCAAAGCATGAAAACTCGTAATGGGATATAAGAGTTTTCATGCGTCGAACAGATACACTCGAAATCCCTGATATAGGGTGATCTGTGGCTGCGTACTTCAACTAAACGTGCTGATGGCTGGGATACTGGTAAAATGTTTATTCTGACACCCATGCTGCATTACCTGTGAGAGGACAGGTCCCACAGGTAATGCAGCATTTTTCTGAGCAGTTTGTTGCATACTGTAAGGGCACATACAGTGATTACAGGAATGCTGTTTGTTTTCCGGTCGTGCTTCGCCAAATGACAAGAAGGTGTGAAAACTCTTTTGCGGATCAGGATGAACAGGGTTACAAAATCACTTTTTCGTCGTTGAATATTCGTGTTTTTTTTCCTCCTCAGAAGGTTATATGGGAGTGTGGAGAAATCGAAATTGCAGTCATGCAATATCTTGTCACCGTGCAAATTCGATCCATCAGACCGTCTCAGACATTCATAGAAGCGCGCCGG